AGGCGTGAACAAATGCAGTGGTGTAAAGAGTACTCTGATGTAAAGTAAGACTAAGCATAAATGGAAATATTCAAGTACAAATGAATACAGTAATGTGGTTCAATCAACAGTTTGCATCACAGCAGATACATTACATAAATTGTTTATTATAAACATTTTGTGTTAACATACTCTTAATAAATGCAAGCGCTGGAAGACTTTCAATAATCTTTGGTGCAAGACTTAGAATAAAAGGAATCTATTTGAATATAAAATAATCCTAGTGATGTTTTTATTAGTGTGTTTTATTTAAATTGTACAAATTGTTGTTTTCTTCACTCTAGAATGGACCCTTTACATTTAAATATATTATATTTAAATCAGGAGCAGATCTCAAAATCACTATTTTGATTAAGTTATTTCAGATTTTTATTTCAAAACATTTCAAAACATTTTCTGTGGATATAATGCTTCCCTGTTTTCCATTTGCAGTCATCCTTCACCTGCACAGATGGTATTTGTTATGTTACCTTTCAATCAGACAGATATTTCCACTGCCTGAATCCAGTGCATGGACTTCATCTCTACTGTGGCACCAAGACAACTTGCTTGCCAAAAAGAAAACAGAAACTGTGTCATTTAAGCCAAATTGCAATGGATGCAGAAAGTCTCAAACATCACCATTAAGTCTCTTGCAGCTGTCATTCAAGAGGTTTTATAAATATGGTTTATTCTCTGTCAGTCCCTTGGAAAACTAAATATTGAAAAGTGGTTGCAGGTTGTATATGGCTTTGTCTCCCCCCTGGTAAACTAGTTATTTTACCTAATTGAACAGCCAAAGAGCATTGCTGCCTGATCTTGTGAAGGTCCCAGTTCCTCCACCTCGATCCCTTGGCCACGCAATCACCATAGAAATGGAGGGAGATTTGGTAGGAATGCATGACGTGTCAAACTGCCCACTTTCTTATTCCTGCCAGATAAAGGGCTGAAATATCCTGAGTGAGAAGGTTACGAAGCCAACCGTGACCTCTGACCTTCCAGTGGGGGGAGAGAGAGAGAGAGAGAGAGAGAGAGAGAGAGAGAGACAGAGAGAGAGAGAGAGAGAGAGAGAGAGTGCTGAATGAGAAAACTCTCCTGGCTGGTTCGCCTTCACACGAGGTGTCACAGTGATCTCACGTGGCTGCAGACAGGTACTGCAGTGTCCAGCCAAAAAGGGAAAGAAAGTAAGTTGAACAGTCAAAGAGAAAATAGCTTAAATTAATTCACTTAAATTAAAATATGTACATCACATTATCCTTTACAATAGACATGTCTTTTAAACTCAGTGGTTTTCCCTCTCTTCACTGTACATTTCAATAATCTGTATAAAAAAGAAGTCCTTACAGTGGCCGTCACGAATGACAAATAATTTACTCATCGTAATGATTCCCAGTGACACTTGGGCTTTAATTGGAAATTCACTGCCTGTACCAGATGTCATGAGCTTTGTGTCCGTCCAGAGAAAAAGAACAGAATCCTTGAGATTTTTTGATTTGCTTTGAGCTTTTACATTCACCTCATAATGTGAGGTGAACACAGTAAATTTCTTTACGGACCAAAATGAGATGAGAGCACTTTGTCCTTTCAGTGTTTGTATGTTGAAATGCTTTTGGAAAACCCTTACCTAACATCTACACACAGTTAGAGGAGCTACATATTTAATACAACAGCGAGGACAACAGCTTCAATGGAGGGGACCTTGAAAAGACAACACCACTGTTTTTGTCTCAGTCCCTCCCTGATTATGACGACAGTAACATCCTCAAACCTTTCTCCATCGTGTACCAGTAGCGATGCATACAGTTTGGCAGTCGTTATGTATCTGACCAGATCCTGCCATTATTATGAAGTTACTTACAGCAGTTGGTCCCCTTGGCTCAACAGTGTCTGAAAACAGTCAGACAAAGTCTAGCTCTGTCCAGGTAGGTAATAAAATCTACAATAGAGGTGAAGTCAACAAATGAAAACTGTTTTATGAACACCTAACATGACAGGCACACATGGAGAGCTGCTGCACACGAGGGGATTTGCAACTCTATCCATTTGTGCAGACGTCACAGGAGCATCTTCATCTAATTCCAACCAAGAAAGCAAATGATCTAGTTTTCCAATATTACCAAAACTGTTTCTTCAAGCCATTTGCAGTAGGCTACACTACCCGCTGTGGTGCACATTACAGTAGAGTGCACACATTTGATTTGCTTTTAAAAACAATAGGTATCAAGCTGTCATTCTATTTGTCTTTCTCTAGAATCTTCAAAACAGGTAGCAAGTTGCAATGAACAAACTTTACGTCAAAAACAATAATGTTGCCATCTCAGTCCATCGTGACCAACTTACACTTTATATAGGGGTTAGCAGATCGCAGATAGGCAGGAGTAAGACCATTCAAGGCTACAAGCAGTAAGATATTAAAATCAATTCCAAAACTCACAGGTAACATGGTAACGTATAGCAAGGATTGCTGTAATGTGGTCACTTCATATGACAATGAAAATCACTGTTATGCTTTCAACACACAATGACCTATTTGACACTACAGATATCGACATGATCGTTATAAACACTCTATGGACACGAGACCAAAACTACTTTTATTTTGGAGGTTTGGGCCGGAAGTGATGCTCATAGATATGTCAGCTACACGCTAACTCACTTCCTGTAGCAAGGTCGAGCAGAGACCTTAACGTCACGTGTTGCACAGTAACAAACCAGCACATGTCAGAAACGTGGTTCACTATCTAACGTGAAATGAACGTGAGGAGGTTTCAAGGAGCTTGTACCGGCTGTCCGCCATGTTTGAATTCTGCAGCAGTGGCTGGGAGTCATCGTCTGAGTGTTGTGGAGTAAGTTTAGCTTTAGCTGTAAACAACTTTAGCTGACTGGAGCTAGCTGACAGGAGCTAGCTGACTGGACCTAGCTGACAGGACCAGGCTGACTGGACCTAGCTGACAGGAGCTAGCTGACAGGAGCTAGCTGACTGGACCTAGCTGACAGGACCAGGCTGACAGGACCTAGCTGACTGGAC